CGTTCACCCCAAGGCTCAATGTCCTTACCCACATTTATTAAGTGTATTCAGAAACTTAAAGCTCAGTTGGCACTAAAGATATGTTGCAGGACCGTGCCTGGAGCTACGTGACAATCCCTGGCTGTGTAATAGGGGTTGACTGGGGAAGGGCATCAGGATCCAGACCAGCCTCAGGTAGGGCACAGAATGATTAATTGACACACCTTGTGTTTTTTAAAACCTCATGGCAAACTGTAGACTGGAGCCCCAGGGAACGGGGATGAAGGCATGCGGGGAAGGCAGTTAATGCACACACAGGCCATCTCCCCCATCCTTTTACAATAGTCTGAGCATCCCTCTAAAGTTCAAGTGAACCTAAATGACTTTGCTAAATTGAGATACCAACCACGATGCCATGCTTGCCTCCCTGCCCCCTCAGCGTATCTGCTTCAGAATCCCCAAAGTTTCCTTTCACCTCATTTTTAGGGAATTTGTCTTTTTCTCAGACCTGGAGCAGTAAGGAATAAAGAGGCTTCAGATTTATGTTCCCCTGGAATTAGGTACGCGAGAGTAGTGCAGGAGAGCAATGAAGACATCAGAGAGAGGATGGGCCAGTGTGTCAGAAGCAGCTATTCCAAGTCATACACCGCTTAGTATGGAAAAATAGATCTATTTTAAGAAGGAAAAAAAAAAGTGCACATGATAGGTTTTAGATGAGAAATAATTTGGGAGTGATATTGAAAATGATATCACTCCTGCTGCACTTCAGTCCTGCCAAGCGCATTCTATAATTAATAACTACTTCAGATGAAGTGACTTACTTTTGAATGTGCAGTATTAAACATTTAAATCCTTATCTGTAAATATAAGACTGTAGCAGATATCTCTGTAAGTCTCGCACCTACATGCTAATGTATATTTATATTCTAGGCAGGTATTTTTAGCAAGAACTACAAGTTCTTTCTGTATTTGATTACATCAGAGCTCTGTTTTACATTAAACGTCTGGACCACAAAAATATTCCCTTCTTTTTTCTTCTCTTGGAGTTTTGCAGTAAATTCTGCCCTAGTCTCCTCTCTTTTCTTTCATGCCCACCTGGATTAATGCACCTTCCAAGAGGGCTGTATAGTTCTTTTTCCCCCTCTCCCTCCCAAAGAAGACCGAATATATATAATTAAAAGAAATAAAGCAGCAAAACAGTTCCTGGTGTTTCCCAACCTGCAGCTTGAGCCAGCCTGCAATCAGGGCATGTCAGGATAATTACCACCACTCACAACTATGCATGATGTGACTAGTGTCCTGCTACAACTAGTGGAAAGCAACTGCAAATGATCCCTGGAAACCCCGATCCTCTAAGTATTAATCATGCTGTTTGTACCTTTGGTCTCCCACAGCACCAGTGATGCCTTTGTGGGAATCTTGCCCAAGTCAAAGCAGCATGATTGAACCTGGGTCCTAATCCAGCCCAAGCCAAGGCTGGTTGTGCACTGCGTTTCCAGAGGAGGAACTATCCTTTGAAATATCCACTCCACCTTCAAGACTTTTGGAGCTCACAAGGAAAGGCCACGCACGGCAGACGTATTGCCCTGATGGTTGGCTGGAGGTGGGACTCCACAGCGTATACCAGTTTGAATATCCTCACCAATGTGGGTCTGCAAACACCTCCCTGACAGTTTGGTCTCTGTCGTGCTTTACTCTTTCATTTCTAGAAGGATGAAAGCATTTGCAGATTTGCAACTGAAAGCAGGTGATGCAGATCAGGGCCGCACATCTGTAGGGCTACACATCTGTAGGGCTGCACATCTGTGGGGCTACACATCTGTAGGGCTGCCCCACATTTGCAGAAGGGCTAGAAGGTGATGGAAGAGGCAACTTCTTGGCCAGATAAAACATAAGGCATCGAGGAGTGCCCTCAAGTCTGGAGATAATGTGTACGTCTCTGGACATGCACAGAATGACTGCTGGGAAGAACAAGCCCCCAGAGGGGCAGGTAAAATCCTTCAACGCAGCAACAGCAGCGCTGCATGCTGCCTGCTGCGAAGCCTCATCTTGCAGGGCCGAGAAGCTGCAAGTCTTTTTATGGCCCTTTGGAGACACATCTCTCTCTGTTCTATTTTATCCAGCCTATATTTAAACTTCTCCCTCCCTTTGTCCACTTGACCCAGTGACGCAAAAGTCTGCCAACTCCTTTGAATCCCCTGGCAGTGTCCTGCATTTGCTGGGGCAGTGGTGCTTGCTGGATTTAACTCCTAGAAACCAAATAGCAAGAATAAATAAAAGCAATAACCTAAGCAGCAGCAAATCAAACTTCGCAAGGGCTCTCAGTGACGACTGTTCAGCCTGTGGCTTAAGGCTAACACAGTGTGAACAGACGAATATTAATGCAAAAGGACATTTTGTAGCCCTGACACTCTGTGTGAAGGGTTTTTCACCTCGCCTAATCTAGGAACATATTACAAGTGCTTTGAAGCCAAACCCTGCCTTTGACTATGTTTTGGCTGCAGTAGAAGCTCGCTGCTCTGGCGACGGAGCCACATTAACAGGCAAGTCGCAGGTGACAGGAGAGCTTCAGCGCAGTGTGATACAGGATGCTCACACAAGGAGGGCAGTGGTCCCCACCCGCAGCATCTTTGCAGCACAGAGTGGACCCCAAATGCTCCCAGCTGCCTGCTTGCCTTGCTGTGCTGAGCTCAGCCGCTTTCTCTTTGCCTGCTGCAAGAGAAGCTGCACTAACAAACCCCCCATTTCTCTCCGTGCATGCCCCAGATGAGCCTCCAGTAACCACTGGACAGTACTTTGCCCTTCTGCCACCCTTCTCCCCCTCTTTTCCAATGGGGATAACCTTAAATCTAGCTCTTCCAAGGAGTATTTTTGCATTCCCTTACTTGTCCCCTTCTGTAGCTTTTCCCCTCTCTGGCATAAGGCAGTTGGGGAGCTGCAGGAAGCCAGCCAGAGACATGCCCCCCCTGCAGCCTGTGCTGCCCCATGCTCCCTTCCCGGACGAAGGCTGAGCGCGCAAGAAAGATGCTACAGGCTGAAAACTGGAGGATCCAACTTTATTTGCTAGATTCTCACCCAGAAGGGAACCCTCACCCTCCCAGTCCCTCTGTATCCAGACCCTGCCCCATCTGCATGATGGAGGAAAGTTCAGCCCACGTTAGCACAGCACAGGACCCTGCAGCCAGCGTGGAAAGGCCACTGGGGACAATGACTTACTCCAGAGCTTGAACCCAGGATGGAAAAGGTGATATGACCTAAGGATGGCAGTGATGGTGGTTTGCTTCTGGCCCAACACATCAGACTGTTTTTGGAGCAGGGAAACAGAGAACAGACGAGTGGGAAGCAGAAGCTGGTGCTCTGTGTCTGCAAGGGTGGGTGTAATACCAATATTTGAGTAGCTCCCAATCATTAGCCTCTCAATGGCATTTTTCCTCCCCGTAGATCTCAGCATTGAAAGAGGGTCTCAGGGAAGCTGTGGCTGTTTTAGTGAAGCACGGAGCAGTTCACCTCCAGGAAAAAAAGGGCTTATCAACTTCCCGAGCCCCAGGTTTGCACAGGGCCCTCTGCCAAGGAATGCAATGCTGTGTCAAAGTTTTCTTGCAAATGGTACTGAGGCAAACCTTAAGAAACCATTAGCTCTGTGCGATGAAGAAAAAAAGTCCCCCTGCTTATTCCTTTAGTTCCCTGGCTGGCGTCTTATGGAAACAGAGTAAAAATGGACTTTGCCACAGAGGAGGTTACAGGGGTGGCATGAACACACAAGGATGGTGCATGGGATGGACCCACGCTCCACTCTGCCCTTGCTCTTGCAGGTTGTCCCCTGGACAAGCCCTGGCAATAGGAACAGAGCAAATGGCAAGTTCCCCAGCTCTCCCCCACCAGAGAGGACTACGAGCTGGGCACTCCTGGCTCATTTGTATCTGCTTCCACTCCATCTGGTTTTACAGCAGACAGGGCATCAAAATCAATCTTACAGCTGCTCCAAGGGAGAACAGAGCAAATCCCCAGCTGGGACCCAGTAGTGCTGTTAACCGGTGTAAATGGAGCCGTTGACTCTTCCCAGAGTTGAGGGTCTGGGATAATCATTACATTTCTTTTCCTGTGGTCCCTGCTGTGAAGGGACAGGGGAGGGCAGAGTAACTGAAGCTGTTGCTTGAAATGGTCTGTAAAACATCTGGGAAGGGAAATCCAGGAGCTCTGATTGCAACCCAAACTCAGGCAAAGGGCTGATGAAGGTTTTGGCTAGCCAAACTCCCAAATTTGCTTTTGCAGGTCTAACCTGCCCTGGCCTGTTAGTTAGTTTTGAGCTTTCCAGAAATACCTTCCATCTCAACACATGAAGGCTGAGCCCTTCTGAACTCATTCCATAGCTTATTCTAGACAGAGCTAATTGCCAGCCTTCTGCAATTGCAAACTACACTCTGCTGAGCAGGTAGTGAGAGGGGACCAACATCCACCTGCTGTTCTGACTGGAGACATGGCACCAAAAATGGAAAGAAAATAAACCAAGCTCCTGATGGAGGGTTGCAGGATTTTTTGGGGGTTGTGCACAGGAATGTAACAGAGGCCCACAGATACAGGTGGTGTGGAAGCTCGAGGAGACCTGGGAAAAAAGCACTATCCACGTCCAGTGTGCATACAGCCTCTGCTCTTGCTGAGGGTGACCCCAAAGCATCAGCCTTGATGGCACCTTCCAGGCCCTCCTGCTGTGCAGAGCCGTGGTGCTTCATCCAATACTGCTCCCCACAGAGGAAAGCTGTAGGGGGAGATGTGGGTCCTGGGGGCCAGAAGCAGCTGAAGGTGAGGAACATCTGCTTAGCAGCTGGAAACTGGAAATTTGAGGGTTTTAGGTCCAGGTACCCAAACTTTTGGTTTGAATCCACTTGAATTCACAGCATTGAAGATGGGTGAAGCCACAAGTCAGCGAAGAAGGTTATTCCCAAAGTATCTCAGAGTTCACGAGGCAGCGTGGCAGAGAGAGAAGTGGGGATGTTTTGGCTGGAGCGTGGGCACTTGTGGCATTACAGAGAGCACTGGAGGAGCGTGCCAACAACCATGGCCACCAGACCCAGCGCTGCAGAGCTCCTTCCCGCCCCATTGCTGCTCCTGTTGTCATCGGTGCAGAGGTCAGTGTAGCAACATGACTTAGGTTTTTTTGCCCCTATCCCGTCATAGGAGCGGCATTCAGGTTACAGTGATGTTGCCGAAAAAGGGGTAACCTGAAACAGAGAGATTGGAGAGGGGGAGAAGAATAAAAGAAAGAGAAAAAAATGGTAAAGGAAGGTGCAGACAGCTGGCATTGAGAAACACTGACTGTGCAATGGAGGGGAATTAAAAGTAAAGTGTTTATAGGTAAATAAAGGCAAATAAGGGGTCGAGCATCTCTAATCCATGGGTGGCTATAATCCAGACTGCTCTTTTAGGAACAGGTCCACTGTTTCTCCCTGCTGCCTCCTCCCTCTCTCCCTCCTGCTCCTTCTAAAGTTATTCTAGCGTGGATAAGGGACACAAGTCCCTGTGTATTTTGTTCAGGTGAGTTGCTCCTGCAATGGCTCTGCAAGGTGGCAGTGCCAAGAAGCACAGGCGTAACGCTGGCATGGTCGCTGGTGAGACGGTGCTAGGTGAAAGCATCTACAAACAAGGAGAGAGCCCCTGGGTTTCTGCGATATGTTTGCACACATCTATAGGTTCAGGGTCCGTAAGGGCATAGGGGTAGGAAAAACAAAACAGACCGAACAGGATGAGTCCTGTATGCTTCGCTATGAGGCTCTGAATCTGACAGATTTCTCTCCTTCCCACTCTAAGGTTGGATAACACCACCTGGGTTCTTAAAGGGAAGTTAAAGGATAATCCCTTTATTATGGGACTGGGACTGGGAGGAGGAGAGGGAAGCGTGGCCAGCAGGTTGAGGGAGGTAATTCTGCCCCTACTCTGCTCAGTACAGGAAAGAGATGGACCTGTTAGAGTGGGTCCAGAGGAGGCCACAAAGATGATCAGGGGGCTGGAATACCTCTCCCATGAGGAAAGGTTGGGGTTGTTCAGCCTGGAGTAGAGAAGGCTCCAGGGACACCTTCTTGCAGGCTTTCAATATTTAAGGGGGGCTTATAAGAAAGAAGGGCACAGACTTTTTAATAGGGCCTGTAGCGATAGGACAAGGGGGAATGGTTTTAAACTAAAAGAGAGGAGATTTAGACTAGATATAAGGAAGAAATTCTTTACTGTGAGGGTGGTGAAACACTGGCACAGGTTGCCCAGAGAGGTGGTAGATGCCCCATCCCTGGGAACGTTCGAGCTCAGGTTGGATGGGGCTCTGAGCAACCTGATCTGGTGAAAGATGTCCCTGCTTATGGCAGGGAGGTTGGAGTAGATGACCTTCAATGGTCCCTTCCAACCCAAACTGTTCTATGATTCTAAGTACATGAGGTCGTTTGGCCCACGAAGGATGCATCTCTCCTCAGGAGAACTCACAGCAAGCAAAGAAACATACATACCTGTGTCTACGGAGTGCAGCGTTGTTGTGCACACGGTGGCTTTCGGGGGGCACAGGGTGGTTGTTCTGCACTCAGCAATGTCCATTGGTTCCTTGCACGTGTAACATCGTAAGGAGTGGGCTGCAGAGGGAAACAGAATGGGTTTGAGGTGGTCGCAGCAGCAAAGACAGACAGCAAGTCTGCAGCTTCTCTGCTCTGTGGTGGGGACTATGTGATGGTCAGTTCTTCATCCCTCCTTGACCAAGAAACAGTGGCCTCAGAAACTAAGCACAGCTGGAGGCAGTAGCAAAGCTTGGACATGTCAGGGGGGAAAGACCAAAGCCCAGCACCAAAGGACAAGGATGGTGTTGCGGGAGTTGAGCATGATCACTACCTTGGGGGTTCAGCCGACCAAAAAG